GAAGATACAGAGTTTCATTATAGCATACAGATAGTCCTCGACTTATGACCACAATTGAGCCCAAAATTTCAATTGCTAAGTGAGACATTTGTTAATGTCCATTTTACAATTTTCTTGCCACAGTTCTTAAGTGAATAACTGCACTTGTTGAATGAATCTGGCATCACTGACTTCGTTAGTCAGAAGGTTGCGAAACTTGATCACATGACCCTGGGATTCTGCAACCGTTATAAATATGAATCAGTCGCCAAGCATCTGAATTTTGATCAGGTGACCACGGAGATGCTGCAATGGTGTGAAAAATGATTATAAATCACTTTTTTACAATGCCATTGTAACTTCAAATGGTCACTAAATGTTCTGTTATAAGGACTACCTGTATTTACTATTCTGTAATTATAACAATATTTCATGCTTAAAATCATTTCAATGCAGCTATACAAATTGGATGAATGGATGAATAAACTATACCTACTTAACTTCCTGAAGATAAGGCTTTTACTTCCTGAAGATAAGGACATTGTGAAGGACCCCACCAACCTCACCTGAAGAATTCAGAATTATTTCCAAATGGTTAATTCATTAAAATAGTTAAAATAAAGTTTGCCATGAATCTGAATCTTTCCTATTTTGGATTATTTTAAAAAGTCAGTTTTAGAGGGAAAAAAAGGAAATCCTACCGAGCAGAAACGCCAGAAAGGTATGACAGCACAACAGTAGCAGAATACATAGCACAGATCTAAAGCCACACATTGATGCTCCTTCTTGAAGTTGCTGCAAGCCATATTTCTGCAACACAGACACATAAAGGATTACAAATTAATCACATTTTAGCTTGCCTTGTCTATTCTTCTGCAAGGAAACCAAAAGATTTGTATCTCTCAGTATATCATCTCTGCATCAGATAATTAGCTAGCCTGAGAGGAAATACAACTATTGTAAATTGCCCTAAATGTTGATGATGTAATTAGTCATCTCATTTGTGAAATACCATACGAACAAAGTAGTGTTTGCACACAATCTGTCTTACATATAGACTAAATCATGCTATCTTTTTAGGGTAGGCATCTAGCTGCAAAAAATTACCAAATTGTGATCCGTTACATTTATGCAATCGCTGTCTCATAATGCTTACACATAAACTGTTATAGCAAATGCTTATTTTATTGGCTTATTTTTTCTGATGTGAGATTAATGATGAAAAGCTCTAGAGTCAGACTTGATTTCTTTAGAAGGCGGCTTAACTACAAATATTTTTTGTTATCAATGTTATTTTAAAAAATGAAAATATAAAAATAAAAAATAATAATTTAAGCAAAAACATAACAACAGCAACAAAACCAGGGGTGGGATTCTACCAGTTTGCACCTATTCACTAGAACCAATTGTTAACATTCTAAGCACTTCAGAGAATAAGTTGTTAGAAGAAATTACTGGCCTAATCCTGTAAGGAAGGCAGGAAGGAAAAATTCTGGTGTTGCTTACAGAAACTGCCTTTCCGTTAACTCTTACTACATTCTTGGCAGGACTAGACTTCCTGTCTCAGGAACGTCTCTGGAGTTTTTCCCCCTCCTTTGCTGGTACTTTGCTTGTGTGGAGTGACCATTCAAAGTTACAATGGTGCTGAAAAAAGTGACTTATGACCATTTTTCACACTTACGACTGTTGCAGCATCCCCACAGTCATGAGAGGCCAGGCAAGGAGAGGCATGCCTTGATGTGAGTGATATTGATTTGGCCACACCCAGCCAATAACATGACCACCAAGCCATGCCCACCAACTAAGCCACGCCCACAGAAACAGATATTAAAAAATTTGAATCCCACCCCTGAACAAAACCCTTAAAAATTGCTCCTCAAAGCAGCAAAAATCAACATTAGAACAAACCAGAAGAACTGAAGAGACAATTCATATCAATCTCCCAGGCAAGGGCAATAATAAAGTTGACAGGATAATATGAATTATATTTAATTATAACTTTAATGTCTAAATAGTGGTTTGTTGATGCATATTGGTTAGGTTCACTTTTTTAAAATCTTTCCATGTAAGAATCCACCATGAATAAAATCTGAAGATAGATGGAAAGCAAGCATAGGAAATACTGAAATGCCATGGAAGAATTACAGAATTAGGAACTTAGCATTGAAGAAGAACTGATAGTGGTTTTCTTAAGTAAAAAGCAGAATTAAGCTATTTAAATAATAGATTAGCAAATATTAAAACTGATGAACCTTCTGAATAACATATTATATAAAGATTAATTATAATAATTTAGCAACCAGTTTCTTGATTTGAGAATTCACTTACTCAGTACTTACAATTTTTTCACCATCATTCCAAAAATACACCTCCTCCTTTCATCATAAATAGAATTTTCCTTTTCTAAAACAATCCTTATGATAGCTAATTATGGTTTCAGGTAAGTATCCCAGACAGCTAATGCAAACTTGGATTGATGAATATAAAATTCAATTTCCTGTTAGGGTTTATTGAGTTATTTGGATGCATCTCCCTTTTTCTTTTCCTTTCTACAATAGGTTCTCATCTGCAACATAAGCATACTACCAGTTGGCAACCCATTGAGAATCAGGCCGTGCAAACTGTGGGCGAGCATGAGAGCACATAAAGCTCCATTTGCGCAAGTGATAGGTGGACATGTGTTCTGCTTATTAATGTCTGGATGGCATAAAGCAGACAGAGTAACTCCACAGAGCATCCATACAAAGTCTTTTATTGGTTCATCAGGCATCCTATCAACTCATATTTATGACAAGGCTCTTCTTAATGTCCAATCCTTTGCATATCTGTACTGTGGTGTAGAAAGATGGTTATCTCTTTCATCCCATATCGTAGAGGCAGGGGGTAGAGCTGCTACCACGAGGCTGTGTTCAGGCAAGAATGAAGAAACCTCCCCCAACCCTCCAAGGGTAAATTCAGTGACCAATCACGGTTATAGATGTGGCCACATGACAAGAACTACATTTCCCAGGATACCTTAACTACATCTACCATGATGCATTCCCTTAAGGTGATAGATCTCAATTCCTAACTAACTAACCCAAATCCCATAAACTCTAAACTGTCTGGACAGCACAGCGTGTGAAACCATCTTCTCTCCCCGCCCCATCACCACTGCCACCGCTGCCAGTCTGCAGAGCCAGAAAGGTTGGGGACCATTAGTGTATAGCCATTTGACAAAGCTAAATATTATTAAATGTAATCAATTTATGGCAGGCTTTTTGAGGGAATAGAACTGGAGCTATAGCAGCTTTGCATATATTATGTATTTATCCCACCACTGAACTAAGAAAATGCCTCAAGCATCTTGTGGCCCTATCCTTTGATATGCACATCCATAGTGCAAGGATTAAAATCCATGGGAAGTTGCAGACCTGCCATTTGCATCTGTAAAATGTAAGCGGTAAAAAATACAGTTATATCTCATGTACCAGAAGTGATATTCAGCAGGTTCTGACCAGTTCTGGAGAACCGGTAGCGGACATTTTGAGTAGTTCAGAGAACCGGCAAATACCACCTCTGACTGGAGATTGTATAGTATCCTTCCCCTGCCACACCCACCAAGCCACGCCCACAAAACCGGTAGTAAAAAAATTTGAATTCCCACCATTGTCATGTACCTCTTATAAACGATAATATATGAAATACAGCTAGTCTTCAGCTTACAACCACAATTGACCTAACATTCCTGTTGCTAAGAGAGACAGTTGTTAAGTGAGGTTTGCCCCGCTTTATGATCTTTCTTGCCATGATTGTTAAGTGAATCTGACTTCCCCATTGACTTTGCTTGTCAGTAGGTTGCAAAAGGTGATCACATGACACCACCCAGTGCAGTCGTCATAAATATGAGTCAGTTACCAAGCATTTGAATTTTGATGACATAACCATGGGGATACTTCAACTGTCATAAATGTAAAAAATGTCCGTTTTTTTCAGAGCTGTTGTAACTTCAAATAGGCAATGAATGAACTGTTGTAAGTAGAGGACTACTGTACTCTTTGTCACTGAATTGTTGCAGATTAAAGTAAACACTTGCCTTATTTCCAGAAAACCCAACAAATTCCAGTAATCGTGCAATCCTTGTTGGCAACATAGATAGAGTCTGGAGGGCGAAAAAGAAAGAAAAAGAAACAGTTTGCCATCACTAAATTTCACAGTAGTTTTTCATTAATAAAAAAACTTAAGTCTTTTCATTACATTGTAGTTCATATCCATTGAAACGAGCTGAGGCTTATTCATCTTCCTGTTCTTTTATTGTTCTTAAGTACAGCAAAAATAGGGCTTGACTTATGATCATAACTGAGTCCTATAATTACAGTTGTAAGTTGTACATCTGTAAAAGAGGTCACACTGTAATTTTATAACTTGTGGTGGTGGTCGTGAAATGAATACTGCAACTTTCACAGTCATTAACTCAAGCAATTTTAACTATGGGGTGTGTTTTGTCAGAAACTGGAGGGAAATGCCAGTTTACAGCAAATAAAAGTAAATCGCAGTCATGTGACTACAGGATATTACGAATAGCTATAAATATGGGCTGGTTGCTGAGGCCCAAAGTTGGACATATGACTTTTGGGGGAGGGGAGCTAACATCAGAACTTCAAAACTGGGACAGCTTTTTGGAAATCCATTATAACAGTGTTGGCGAAACTTTTCGGCATCTAGTGCCGAAACAGGAGCACAAGCACATGCGGGGAGCGCTAGAAACTGGAAGAGCAGCTCCCTGGAGTGTGCAGTTTCCGGTGCATGCATGAAACGCTGGCCACCCAGTCTTCCTGTTTCTGGCATGCATGCACATGCGAAGACCAGCTGGCCGGTGTGCATGCGCATGTCGGAAACCAGAGGCTCAGCTTCCTGACATGCCCAGAGAGATGGCTCTGCGTGCCACTTCTGGCATGCTTACCATAGGTTCGCCATCACGGCATTATAATTTCAAAAGGTCCCTAAGTGACCAGTCATTAAGTCAAGGACTACTTGTATAAAAACTTCCTGTTACCACTCAGAGCCATCTCAGAGAGACTATTTTGTGGAGAGAAGATTGTACAAAGAAATAAGCTATTCTATGCTTATTTAGCTTCAAAGCAGTTAGAACTGAACAAGTCACAAGTAACCTTGAAATAAAAAGATGGGTTATAAATTCAACAGTAAATGAGGTAAACTCTTTTGATACAGCATGATTTGTGAGGAAGCCAAGTGTACTTTGCCATACAGGACTGCTCAGTAGAGAAACCCAAACATTTTAACCATTGGTGTGCTTCAACACTGCTCCATGAAGCACTGTAGTGAAAGAAATTAACAGATGAAGCATACAGAGAAAATAATAGGATGTGTTACAGAGACAGAATGAAAAAAACTGTTGCATCCCTGTAACAATGTAAGCACTTGACAATTTTGCAGCTGTTAACTGATGAGCTCAAAGATCTTATACGGCCAATATCAATAGGATCACAAATACTAGTTAATAAAGCAGTCTCCTTACTAGGTATATAACAATGTTATCCTGGGAATACCTGTACTGTAAAATACTTCATGAAGAGCTTTAAAATAAAATACCAAGGAAGTAATTTCCTCATAGAGGTATTATTTTTCTTTAAGCCTTTTAATAAAAATATTCATCTAGATCTAAGCTAACTAAGGAGTTCTAAGAGACAGCTGACGAAGGTAAACATTCTAGTCAAACTGAAGCATTTATAATTGAAGTTTCCTTCCTGTGTGAAATATATGGAATTAAAAGCTACCTTCATCCAAGTATACAGAACGTTGCCTGTAAATTTCTGTAATTATTAATAACTTTTTAAAATAATAGAATAGTTTGAATAGATCTTGGAAAGCTATTCAAATTCAATTTGAAGTTTATATTGTTCAGTTGTGTATATCCTTTAATGCAGGGAGTATTTATATCCATCTGATATAATTTTGACATGTGTTACATAACTGTGATGAGACAATTCCAAAATAGGGCCTTCATATGAAAGAACCATTGCCCTAAATTACATAATAAAAGACTATTTGCTGATGCTCTGCATAATATTAATATCAGAATAATTGGTGTAAAGTTAAAATAATTCAATTTAAATATTTATTAGAAATTCAATACAAACCAGATTTAATGCTCCAACTCCCAACTTTACACCGACTTCAAAATGGGGATGATTTTCTCCTTTAACATAACTGGGGCACTGTATTCGATTCTCCAGGACCCTAGCAAAACAAAATATCTCATTATAAACAGATATCTCATTATAAACAAATAAGAATAAAAATAAAAGCAATCATACAACTTTTTACATAGAGCAATTACTAAGGGTCACTAATAATAATTAATTTTGTGTCTCAAACATGATGTATGTGCCACCAATAAGCAATTTGGTGAACTAACCAAATTTAAGAGATATTTACTAGCCCAGGAACATGAGAAAAACCTGATGTTATTTGTAAACAAACAAGATATACATTTGGACCTTCTTGGTAGGAGTTCCCAATATGAAAATTCATTTCACAGAGGTGGGAAGAGGGCTTTGAAGACTTTTAAACATACTTAAAATATTTTGTAACTCCTGAGACAGGATTCCATAAAGCCCCTCAGATTTCCCTTCAAGGCTGAAGACATAATTAATTCCAAGCTTGGAAACAGAAGTTCCAGTGATAGATTCAACCAATAGTCTATGTAGTTGCTCTTTCCAATACTAAATATTTGGAAAGAAGATACAGAGGTTGGGAAGGCCTTGAAGGTATTGATCTGAAGAATCTAACTAGCCTATTTGTCAATGTGACAGAGAAGAAACAATAGCTTTGTTTTATTGCTATATTTTTCAAATTGTTTCAAATTATTAAGTGCTGTAAGTCTAGTGAGAATTCTAGTATAAAAATAAAATAACAGCACAGATAGTCCTCAACTTATGATAATTCATTTAATATCAGCTCAAAGTTAAAAAAGCCTCCGTAACTCATCCATAAAGTTATGACTGTCACATCACCCCTGCACTGCAGTCGCATAATTTCAATTTAGGTGCTTTGCAACCAACTTGCAACAGCTGCAGCATCTTAGGATCATGTAATCATAATTTGCAGCCTTTGCAAACAGCATCCAAAAAGCCAAGTAAATTGGGGAAGCCAGATTCACTTAAAGATAGTATGATTCCCTTAACAACCATGGTAAACAAGGTTGCAAAATCAGATCCAGTCATGTGATGATTCACTTAATGCCCAAATCAATTAACAGTTGAAATCCTGGTCCCATTTATGGTCAAAAGCCAAGGACTATCTGTAGTATTAAGAAAAGACCCAGGAGGAACTCCCCCTTGCTGATTGGAAGGGAGGAGTAACACAATCAGACTTGCAAGAAGTATATTCTGGTCTTCTTGTAGAGTATGTTTGCTGATCTTCTCTACCTTAAAGGACTAGGTGACGAGTAAAAACATTTGTTTTTCAGAAATATTTAGAGTAATACAGCTTGTCACTGCAAAAAATACCAATTATCAAATAATTTCAAAAACTACATACCTATATATTTGATAACTATTTCTTATTTTGATGCTGCCTTTCACAAAGCTAATTATGCTTTCATCCTAAGAAAAATAGAATACATTGTCTATTTCAGTTTATTAGTCAATTAAATTGCTTCAGATGGACAATGACTAATTCTGAGACAATTAATTGGCAAATTGCTAAAACTCACTCTAGTCATAATAAAGACATTTTCCCACTATTTAGCTATTTTGAAAGCATGTTATGAGAATTACTAATCTCACTTTTGATAAATCTAATATATTAACAAGAAGTCAAATTGTTTCTTGCTAAAACATCCTAAGAAAATACCCAATTCATTCAAAAAGCTATCATCAAAAACACACTCACAGACATTATATTTCCTTACTAAGCAGAAAATTTCCCTACTGAATTTAAACTATCTTAGAACATAACTATCTTATATATGTTTACCATAAAATGATACTATTTACCATGAATCGTGGTGGCGCAATGGTTAGAATGCGTTACTGCAAGCTACCTCTGCTGATTGCTATTGCTACCTCTGCTAAGTGCTATTGCTATTTAATAGACCTTACTCTCATAGATTGTAATTTAAATGCACTTGAAATATGGGGTTTGTTTTACCAATGATTAACTAACAGAAACAGAAGTTAGAACATTTAAAATTATAAGAGAAGGATTAATTTTACCACGAGGGCTTACTACAATATGTTTATTATTAATATGATTAGTATTAATAAGTATTAATATGTTGAGAAAATACTGTTATGATATGACTATTACTATGAACATTGTTACTATTACGATGACCATTGCTCAAATTAACTGTAACCAGACAACACATTATTTATATAGGCATTGAAACTATTGCTCTTTATATAGCAAAAATTAAAAAAAAAAAAAAACTAACAAATGCCAATTTTATTAAACTAATCCACTTATGAAGCTTATAAATTAAAACATGAAATTCACTTAATTATGTATTAATTGCATAAAATATAATAAAAAATGGTAGTGATGTATTTAAAGTACTTAAAAAGTATTTAACACAAAAACTCACAGATCATTGCATCTCTTGCCATTTCACAATTCCCTGACTACCTTAACAATACCAGGTCCTGAACAACATCTTTACCTGGAGGAATGTAAGAGCAGTTCTCTGAAGCAAGCATTCAGCATAACAAATTTCTGCATGGATTTCTTCTAGAAAAAGAACAGAAATGTTTCAGTTTCTCTATATAATGTGATTATTATCAATATTGTAAAAAAAGTTTTTTCAAGCAAGAAACTGAAGGACCACCTACTGCCACTTAAAAATGCTGACAGGCCATCTTCAGAGATGATAAGATAAAATCCTTTCAAGCTGCCACATCCTTGGATCAGTTAGCTTGAGGAATGCCTGCTAACAGCTCTTATTTCTTTTTATTAAAAGAAGTACTTACTTGATTACATTTTTCTTGCATTATTTTAACAGATTTAACAGATAATCAGAGTTGGAAGGACCTTGTAGGTCATCTAGTCCAAGCCTAAGCGGGAGACCCTACACCATTTCTGACAAAATTTTCTATTTCTGTAAGTTTCAAAAGAGACATAGCTGAACATCAAGATATAGCGAGGACAAGATGTTCATAATCTGCAATATTTGATGCTGACAGATGTTCACCAGGGTACACGAGATAGAGGAAAACAAGAATTGGGTGTTGATACATACAGCTTAAGAATTGCTTATTCTTTTTCTCTTGTATCTAAATATTTCTCCTTAGAGAGGTCTCTTATATCTAATCTTAACAGAATGAAGGCAAATATATGTATCAGGATTATGTTGCAGGATCCTGAGGTTTAGTCTTCTGTGCTTTTGGATTCATGCTGGAGCCCACCAGATTGCAAGAACACAAGTGAGCAGTCAGACAAGGAGACCCAAACTCTTTGGTAGCTTGTTCATGGAATGAACAAGGACATAGATTCAATTTTGCAGCTACTAAGATTGTTGGCCGAGCAAATACAAAGGTAGCCAGGGAAATTATTGAAACCTGCGTAATGGAGCCCTTTGTCAGTCAACAGGAGTGCTAATTTACCACCAGCTTATTAGGTATTTAGAAGCTGAGGACTTGGCACCACAAGGAAACAACAGCCAAGGACTTAATAACCAGCCATCAACACCCCAATCAACAAATAAAGAGCTACACAGAACCAGGCACCACATAAATACTATCCATAGAATAGGTCAAAAGAAAGCTCAGAAGATTAAACCTCTGGTCCCAGGTACCCACCCAGATTGGATCCTGCAGTCTTAACAGAATAACAGAATAAGAGAGTTATTGCTCAGGCTGGAAACCCTATACCATTTCAGACAAGTGGTTGTCCAATGTCTTAAAAACCTCCAGTGATGGAACACCCACAGCTCCAGCACTGGTGGTTTTTAAGAATAGACCTATGTAACTGTGTTCTCTGACATCCAAATATCTGCCAGGATTTAATTGACTAGAGTATTTTGTTTTCATCAAGGACCATGTGCATTACAATTTAAGCAAATTTTCCCCACAAAGTCATCCACATATATATAATCATAAGATTTATCATCCACATATATAATCATAAGATATGGAACTGTTTGCCAGACGTAGACATATAATGCAACATCTGAAGGTTACAATACTTATTCATCAGTTATAACAATAAAATACAGAAAGTTGACGTACAACCAAAACTGAGCACCAAATTTATGTTGTTAAGTGATAAATTTGTTAAGTGAGTATTGCCCCATTTTACGACTTTTCTTGCCACATTTGTTGAGTGAATCATTGCACTTGTTAAATTATTAACAAGATCATTAAGTAAATTTGGTTTCCCCATTGACTTTGCTCATCAGAAGGTCCATAAAGGGGATCCCATGACCCTGGGCACTGCAACCGTCATAAATATGAGCCAGTTGTCAAGCATCCAAATTTGATTCACATGACTGTGAGGATGCTGTAATGGTCCTCTGTTAAAAATGGTCATAGGTCACTTTTTTCAGTGCTGTTGTAACTTTGGAAAGTCACTAAATGAACTGTTGTAAGTCGAGGACTACCTGTAATATAACAGAGTGCTGTTTGTTTACCTTCAGTTAATTGATCAAGATTCTGTTTGTACACTAAAGCGTTGAAAGAGTCTGCGATCAAAGACTTTTTCCGAAACCTAAAGAAAAATTATAGAGGCTGAAGATTTAAAGTATACTTACAATACTGCAGTTAAGCAAATAATTCAGAAATATATTTGACACATATTCTGGAATGCATAATATTGGATGCATGAATTTCCGACTACTATGGTCACACATCATGACAGTTGTCAAGCCAGTCTAACTCTTTTTTTTTATTAAGAAAAGTATAATGTGAAAATATTACAAAACTATGATGATCAATCTTCATGGCTACCAGTAAAAGGGAAGATTTATTTATTTATTTAATTTGTCAATTGCTTGCAAGATAATAGATATAAGTATAAACATGAGTAAGATTACAAGAAATAGGCACGAATAAATGGGGATAATAGGACAGGGACAGGAGGCACGATGATGCACTTATGCACATCTTTGATTTTACTTACTAACCATTTCCTAACCCTTTCCTGTAATTTACATAATAAGATTTATGTGAAAGAGAATAGCATGTACATATACACGCTACTTAAAAATGTTCCCCTCCCACATACGGGCTAATTGTTTTCAGCTCTACGGGGTGGTACTCATCTCTGTTACAAAGCCGAAAAGCTAGTGCCATCCGAAGATGTCTCTGTAGTCATGTGGCTGGCATGAGTAAATGCCGAAGGTCCACGGAACACTGGTACCTTCCCACCAAAGTGGCCCCTATTTTTCTACTTGCATTTTTACAAGCTTTCGAATTGCTAGGTTGGCAAAGCTGGGACAAGTAACAGGAGCTCACTCTGTTAACACGGTGCTAGGGATTCAAACTGCTGAACTGCTGACCTTTCTGATTGACAAGCTCAGCGTCTTAGCCACTGAGCCACCGTCCCTGAAGGCTCCTAAAATAGACTACTGGGCTTTTAAAATATGTTTCCAATTAACACTATTGTAATAGCATCTTAGAGAGCCAGCTTGGTATAGTGATTAAGGCACTAGGCTTGAAACTAGGAAACTGTGAATTCTAGTCCCACCTTGGGCAGAAACCCAGCTGGGTGACCTTGACCAGTCACTTATTCTTGGCACTGTGAAGAAGGCAATGACAGCCACTTCTGAAAAACCTTGCAAAGAAAACTCAGGCACTTGTCCAAGCAGCCTTCAAGTATTGGACACGATAGAACAGAAGACATTTTTTTCCGCATCTTATGTACTAATTTTATAATTATTGCATTTTATGTGCTTACTTCTGACATATAACTTGAGCTTCTTGTGTTGTATTTCCAGCATTCAATATGTCCCTGGAGTCAAAGATCAACATGGCCTGAATTTCCAGAATGGTAGCATAAGTCAGAGCATGATACATGCTATCCTTTTTTCTATAGGAGAGAAGTTAGAGAAATATGTTCACAAGGCCCAAAAGTAGCACAAGAAAAGAAAGACACTTGACTTTAAGAATGTACAGGAGCATTAAAGGCAGTGCTATCTAAAACTGTAAAATTTATCCCATTTTATAAATTAAATTTCATACTGAGAATCACACCTATTTATTTTAGGATAGTGTTGAGACATCACAGAGAAAGAGAGACTAACAAAATACAGATACGGTTTTCCACATGAGCTTGATGCCAAAAGAATGGTTTGTGTCTTTCTTTCATTGTATTCCTTCTAATAATGTGCTCCAAAACAAAACAGGCATTTCTTTTCATCCTGCAAAAACATACTGAAAGGCAGACACTTTCACTAAAATCTCAAATGGCACTCAAAATGCCATTTTTATGCTCCCCTTAGAAGCATGAAGGAGATGAGCTTCATATTTTGCTAAAGATAAGTTTTCCCTACAGGATTTCCTGGTTATATTTTTTTTGAATTTAGCATGCAATGTTTACAAAGCATTTTTTAAAAATGTTCTTTTTATTTTTTTGTAGACTTGCTTAATAGATTTGCTTAATTTCTGTATGTCTGCCTGTATTGGGTCACAATGGCTGACCTAAAGCATTCTCAAAAAAACGGCAGCAGTATTTTTTTGTCTATCATTTTCTTTAATCAGTTTACTAATAAGTTCATTTGCTGATAAATTACTTGCACGAATTACATAATTTATTACACTGACACATGGACATCTAGATATTTGCACAACAAAATTAGAAATGGCAAGACCAGAAACTGGATTTTACTAGCCACAAAGAATATAACTACAGAGACCAGATTCAATAAAACAGAGGCCTATCTAAATTTTCTTCTCTGTATTTTAAGTGTTTCTTCTTCTTTTCTATTAATCCTATTTTCCCCTCTATGAATCCTTTAAAAGAGTCCAAAAGATGCTGTTCGTGTAATTTATTCAATAATTTATTATCCCCAAAGGGTTGCTCCAGTTCTTTCATGTATCACTCCTTAATTTGAAGTAGCAGTGAGATTAGTGTCCTTGCATTCTGCAATGTTCTATTTAACACAGACACCAATAGGGTAAAATGTTAATTAAATGAGCCTCTTAAGTAAAGGAAAGGAACATCCATTATCTGAAACACTTAATTACGTTAGATACAGCACAGTCAGTTATTCTTTAGGGAACATCATACACTGGGAAACAAAAGATGGGCTTGTGTGATTCGTAAAGAGGTCTTGAATTGAAGCTAATTACAACAATCCCTAAAGTAAATTCCCTATTAACACAAGCATTTCCACATGACACTGATGGCACTATAAATTTGTTATTAGCCCATCAGTTCCTTATAATACAAAATATTCTTAACACAATATTTATATTTGAAAATATTGGATGGATAAACAAAAATGTATAAGTTAGAATAATGCACATTTTAATTTATAATTATAGAATGCCAACCCTTCCTTCAACAAATGTTGGAGCATAAGAGCAGCTGAATCAAGAAATCCTTGAATGGTGGTGCTGGTTATTGTTCAGAATTATGGCCCTTCTAGATAGATCTGAGAAGTCATAAACTTGGCTTCAATTTGTTTTTAGCAATTATAATTACTTTGTTCTGAAAGAAAATATAAGAATTGCCATTGCTTTTATACCTCAGATATTTCAGTAAATGTGATTAGATTTTTCTCTGCACTAACATAACGAAGCTAATATCTATTAAAATTTATCTAGAAAAGACGACTTCAAAAATACATAATACAATATACATCTTGATTTCTTCATAAATTTAATGTCCATATTTTCAAGCCGATATTCCAATCAATATTTTTAATATCATCAAGAGCTGCAACTTTTTTCAGATTCAAATCACAACATCGAACAACCAAATAAATGGGTTTAATGTTTACGTAGTCACAATCGAATAAGCAAATTTAATGTTTACTGCTTGCTGCTGTTTACTAAAATGAAAGTCTCAATCTACATTTTACATTTGTCTCTCTTTCATGGCATCTAGGGGACATTTCTATGTTTTTATTTGATAACCACCTTCCATTTCACAAGATGTGTAGATGTTTTAGTTATAAATCAGAATTCCACAAGTTCACAAGCATTTGACAAAGTGAAAAGCCTTGGCTCAAGGAAACGATTTTGAAAGGCTGCAAAAAACCTTTCCATTCTGTTTTTCCTATCTTACCTAGCAGATCAAACCTGAAGATGATATCATTTTGTAACAAAATGGTTCCATCTTCAGTCTAGATGTGCTAGATAAGATAGGATCACCCGCTATTTCTTCAATCCATGCTGATGAAGTCAAAGATCTATCAATGTGGAATTTACAGTATGCTAGCACAGAGAAATTCTTGTATCAAATTGTTCTAACTCTGTTTGTGCAAAGGAAAATAAGAAGAAGGGCTATTTGTAGCTACAGAATAATCTTATTTCTATTCCCTATGACTTGTTTCAGTATCAACTGTTAAAATATTATGGTACCAGATTGAAATTAGCATATGTTAATTAGTAGAAATAGTGCAATGAACAGAAAGGTTTTTGTAGCCTTTCAAAATAGTTTCCTTGAAGCAATTTTCAATCAAAATTAAACTAGTACTTGCATCACACACAACTCAAAATAAAGATTATTATCCATTTAACTATTATCCATTTAACAACCCTCAATTTCTTTATATATCTGCTGCGTAAAACAAGAGTCTTCAGCTAAAAACCCAAATCCAAGATGACATTATGATCTGAGGACAGTAACTAAAAATACAAATACACTGAAAACATAGTGAGCCTTCCATTGTACCTATCGATTGCAGAAAATATGACTTCAGCAATCGAGTGGTCAACACCTAGAACACTCTAGCTGATTCCGTTGTTACAGCCTCAAACCCTCACAGCTTCAATCTCAAACTGTCTACTGTGGACCTCACCCCATTCTTAAGAGGTCCTTAAAGGGGGCGTGCATAAGTGCACTAGCGTGCCTACCGTCCTTGTCTTACTGTCCCCATTTATCTGTATTTACTTCTTTTGTTCATATTTATGTTTATGCCTACACTTGTTATCTTGTACATGTTTGACAAACAAATAAATAAATAAAAATATTGCAATTGCTGACCCAACTTTTACTAATTATTTTTGGAATTAAATAATTAGAAAATATAGACAGAATAACAATTGACTTTCACAAAGGCATCTGTCTCCATAATATCTGACTAAGAATTTCTGAAATACTTGTCAGGTATTATTCAGATTCCTTATAAACATGAATTTTGCAATATTTTAAAAGAAAGTTAGACTGTTTTTTAAACATAGATTTGGGGCTCTGAAAGAGTAGTAATCATGTAATCTGTTTTGGACGAAATATACAGAAGGCTGATTTGAAAAAAGAAACTCAGGTTCTCCTACTTGTGTACTACTCATTCTATTAATATTGGGGACATTACTAGTTTCATGTGGCCTTAAATGCTGTTATTACTCTGATGGGGATAGAGGAAGGCACTGCTGTTTTACCTACTTCATTCTGGCTATTTGGCCACCCACGAGTTGTTTCCACTTGCTGCCAGCAGTGTTGTTCTGCTGAAGCATTAAGTCAAGGACATTGCTTTTAGTCAATCAACAGCTCCCTTGTGCTTCAGTTTGTGTTCTTTCTTTGCACTTGTAAACTGTGCTATTTTAGTCTTATATGTCTTTCACAATAAGACCCGTGTTAAGAAACAGCCTGATCAGTCACATACATGAAATACTTCCTTGACTGCAGACTGTTGGGCAACTTGACATGCAATTTTTAAAAAAGGATTTTTTTTTTCCAGACTAAAAATGCCATTTCAACATTCCACTTGCATTGGAACTAATGTGGCACACCCCATCCCATGCCAAGGACTGATTGATAACTGTTCTCCTGTTAGTAGGTGAAGCTTGATAGGATGGGAAAGATTGGGACTATTAGACAGCAGAAGAAGTCAACAGCAATCGGGGAAGTAAATTTTATGCCAACAGATTTTTCTGTCAGTTCAAGGACTTTTGGTAAGCACTTTAATGTGGCCATCTGGTTGGAACTCTTACACAAGGATAGTCCATTCCAGCTGCTCCTATCCGTCTCTCTTACATCTCCACAGGCAATCAGCCAAAATCCCCAGTGGCAACAATATTAGCCATCTGCAGTGTCATACAGAAACAAGTCAGGCTACAGCAACATCCAACAACAAATTACTTTTCAGAGCTTTGTTCTTTCAGGGCTCTTGTGTTTCTCTGTAGTAGAGCAGATTGAGCTATAACAAGGAGAGCTGTATCCACCACGATGCTAAAACAAAAAAAAAATTATCCTACTGTTTTACATATTTTTTAAAAGATGCATTTTAAACAGTATAGATTTTACAACATTCCTCAATATAGAGAAACATTATATGCAAGCATCAACAACATTTTCTGGTCCATAACAAATACATTCAACAGACACGGAACAGAAAGTTAGATAACAATAGAACAGAACAGAATGCAATGCAATACAATGCAATATTTGACCAAATGTGATTAGATACACAAAGAATTTGTCTCCGGTGCAGAAGCTTTCAGTGTACGTGCAAAGTGAGATTAATAATAATCATAATAATGATCTCAATAAGAGGGGTAATAGAGAAGATGAGAAGGATAAGAATAATACTACAGCCATACAACATGGGTAAATATATTTAGACATTTTATGTATCACGAGGTGTAATAAAACATCTGTTTGTCCAATTACTATTTAGTCTTCCTTGCCAGTCCTATAAATTAATCAAAGCATTTAAAACTATTTTCTCAATACTTCAATATAATTATTGTTATCATTTACTTTTAACATTCCCCACAATGTAACATGATTCATGTTTTTCCCAAAACACACAATGGCAATATGCTCCTTCATTCTACAGCTATCAAGTGACTTTCCACAGGTTCTGCATCAATAGAAACTGATACTGAAAAAACACTCCAGTATTGTAAAATATACCACAATTTACATCCAGTCTTTCAGGTTTATATAAATCACTGTTTAAATTCTGGATAAATTATTTTTATTTGTTTGCAACCAAATAGGAAATATAAACAGCTTCAAATAAGACACAGAAAATTATCCCAGACAAAATCATAATCTGCTAACTTTACATGGAATCATAATTGCCACCTTTATTGTCTGTTTTTATATCATTCAGTGTGTACACTAATTATGTGTTTCAAAATATGTATTTGAACCTTGGGAATATTGAAATATTCCAAAGTTTGCATTGTTCAGATTTTTACAATACATCTGTAGATATCACAAAAATGATACATCAAAATACATATAAAATGTACATATTTTTGTAAAATATATCAAAAATGTGTTTTTTATGGGAAAATCAGTAAGTAGAGAGTTGTTTCAGCACATTTGAGAAGTACACAGGTTAACAGAGAATTGAACTCTGATGCCAAATTGATTCTAATAGATGTAAATACTATGGTTCATATGCAGATTTGCAAACATGATATTCGTAAGTTGCAATACAATAATTCATTTAATAAGTCATTTAAGGCTGATTTACTAACCTAATACAGCAAGAGAGCCTAAAACCTGCTGGAATCAATCCACATACCAGCTTTACTCTCACACTTCAAAGCAGACAGTTTCCAGCTGCTCAGGGGACAGATGTTGTACTCACCAATTCTCAATAAATTGGCTGTTTAGGAAAAAAAAGTCAAAAATTTCTCAATTTGAATAAATTCTAAATTAATAGTTGATTCCACAAATTTATCTCATAAGAGAATAAATATATCTGCTTATTTTAAGACAACAATTATACCCAATTTTCTGCTTCTTGCCTAGCATAATTACCTATGCATTCTCTTTGTGAGTTTTTGGAATGCGGTCTTTTAGTATATATTCTAACTCCTTGAGCATTTTTATTAAAATTTGGCAACAAATAAGATATCACCAATTTCTATTTTTCATTGGAAATTTTTTTTAAAAAAATCAAGCTGATTTAAACTTTTAGCAAACGTCCTCTAAAACCAATAATGTCCCTTTGATGCTAATCCATCTTGTTTTTATCAGGTGCCCAATATATTTCAAAATGTTACTTCCAGATGCCTACGGATTAACAGATTTATTTTCATGTCCATGGCTCCCAATCAGGGGTGGGATACGACAGGGTTAACTACCGGTTTGGGATTTATGAGCTTCCCTGCACGCTGTGAGCCGCGTGCCTGTAAATCATCATCACAATGCTGTGTGCAGAGAAGCAGCCTTTGAAACAACCCCCTTTTCCTGCTTTTTAAACTGCAGCTGTGCCTCGTTCGGCAGCTGAAGTTGAAAAAAAATCAGGGAATAAAGATCAGGTAAGAGCCCGGGTGGGCAGGTGGGCAAAAACATCAGCAGACATAGAACCGGTTCTATGTCTGCTGCTCTTCAGAGCTACCAGTTCTACAGAGGTGAACAGAACCGGTAGAAACCCACCCCTGCCTCCCAATCCACTTCATCAGATCTCCAAATGGAACTTTAAACATGAAAACTAGCATTATGAATTGGTCTCGGAAGGATACTGCCAATCAGTATAGCTACAACACTATGATTTAAGATGTAGCATATAGCCTCCCTTAGTATGCTCTGTATCCGTTTTAATTTCTGATTCATTTTATAAGGCATACAGTGGATTAAGCAGGGGTGGGATTCAAATTTTTTAACAACCGGTTCTGTGGGCGTGGCTTAGGTGGTGGGCGTGGCTGAGTGGTCATGTGACTGGATGGACATGGCTTGGTGGTCATGTTATTGGCTGTGTGTGGCCAACTCAATATCACTCACATCGAGGCACTCATGACTGTGGTAACACAATATCACTATCACAATATCACTCACATCGAGGCACTCACCTGGCCTCTCATGACTGTGGGGATGCTGCAACAGTTGTAAGTGTGAAAAACAGTCATAAGTCATTTTTTTCAGTGCCATTGTAACTTTGAATGGTCACTCCACACAAGCAAAGTACCAGCAGAGGAGGGGAAAAAAACTCCAGAGAAGTTCCAGAGACAGGAAGTCTAGTCCTGCCAAGAATGTAATAAGGATTAACAAAGAGCCAGTTTCTGTAAGCAACACCAGGATGTTTCCTTCCTGCCTTCCTTACAGGATTAGGCCAGTAATTTCTTCTAACAACTGATTCTCCGAAGTGCTTAGAATGTTAACAACCAGTTTTAGCGAATAGGTGTGAACTGGTAGAATCCCACCCCTGGGTTTAAACACGTGGTAATAAGGATGTAACTCACTGTTGCCAGGCTTTCCTGGTCCAGGATAAGCTACAGTGGGAGCTCCAATCTACATTATGTACTGCTCTAGTAAGGACTGTAATTCAGGACAATTACCAGTCCTCAATATAACCTTACATAGAGCAGAGGAGTCACTGGAACTGAATCAGAGCTGGACAATTTGGAACTGTTTCTCTGTCTTATTAAGATTCAATTGAGCATGAAGGGGAAAAAATCAAGAGTTAAAAGAATGTTTACCTATTACATACATTCCTGAACTGGATGACTATTTTATAATACAATGTGTTGGGAAGATCACCGCTATATAATGAGAAAACAGGATTAAATTCTCTAATGATTTTAGCTAATCAGTTTTAGATGCAAAACTGTCTTTATAATTTCAATTTCCCTCCCAGGATTACTCTTGGAACACAGCCCAAAGAAACTGAAATGCTGGTTTGGGGCCATTTAAGTACTGCATGCCCATGGGATATTTAGATCCATTTACACTTTTGTGCACTATCAGGGTACTTAGAAAGGAAAAGGTCTAGCTTGACATGGAAAAAAATTTCTCACAGCTCCCCCCTTCTCTGTTGCTTTATACAATGTTCTCCACCTGCTCATACCATTGTTACTGTAGAGAGAAAAGCAGAAATTTCCAGCCTAGGTTTGCATTGTGAAAGGAGGCATGCAGATTTGGTTTCCAGATTTGGGCTGCTTAGAGGCAGAATATGAAATAAATATTTTAAAGGAGTTTTCCTTTAAGTTAAATAGCTTAAGCCAGCTGGAGCTATGCTGGCTGGAGAATTCTAGGAGTTGAAGTCCATAAGTCTTAAAGTTGCCAAGTTTGGAAACCTCTGGCTTAAGCAATAGAACTCTAATAGAAATAGCAGCTGCCTAGGTGTTCCTGAAGTTACAGCTGGTGATATAAGTGCAAAGAAGGCTTTGACAAGGCTAGGCGCGTCAGCAGTACTTAAAGAGCCAAAAGCAGGGATTATCCAGCAACAGCCAGGCTTTTTGAACAGGCTTATCAACAGATTTGGCCAGGGAGGCCAGAAACAGGCCAACAGGAAGGGCCAGGCAGTACAGAGAGCCTATAACCACAATTGATTTCAAAATTTCCATTACTAAGACAGTGAGTTTGCCCCATTTTACGACCTTTCTCGCTGACATTGTCAACTGAATCACTGCAGTTGTTAAATTAGTAACATGGTTGTTAAGTGAACCTGTCAGAAGGTCGTAAAAGGTGATCACATGACCCCGGGACA